ATATCGGATAAGTCTCCGATGATGATGAAGATGATGGTTATGTATTCATGATACTTCTTTCTATGAGAGTCTAATATTGGATCTCCATGGAAGAGGACTTGGTGGTCATTTTGGCAAAGATAAAACCTATACATTGGTGGAAGAGTGATATTCTTGGCCACACATGAGGAGGGATGTATATCAATTTGTTGACAAGTGCATGGTGTGGCAGTAGCCAAGGGACACTCTCAAAACATGGGCCTAGACACACCATTGCATGTCCCAACTAGGCCGTGTGTTGACTAATCTGTGAATTTCATTGTGGGATTGTTGAGGACAACAAGGGATATGATTCAATTATAGTGGTGGTGGTGGATCGATTTTCTAAAATGGCACAATTTATACTGTGTTGGGACCACAAATGCTACGATGGTTACTATTCTTTCCTATAAGGAATCGTGCGATTGCATGGGCTTCCTAAGACCATTACCTCAGACCATGATACTTAGTTTCTTAGTCATTTTTAGAGGACTTTATGAGGAAAAATGGGTATTTCAATTCTGTCATGCTTATCATCCACAGACAGTTGGCCAAACCGAGTTGATCAAGACAATATGCTAAGGAGTTTGATTAGAGAAAATGTGGAAGTGTGGAATTTGGTGCTATCACAAGCTGACTTCACATATAATAATCCTCCAAATAGTCAATCGGAAAGACTGCTTTTACTGATATGGCTTCATTTCATTTTCGTGACTTACTTCCTTTACTTGTATGTGAAACTGTGGATCCAAATGCTACTACTATGCGGGAATACATGAAATAGTTGAATGTGGATGTTCAAAGGAAGTTGAAGTATAGCTATGACAAGTATCAAGATGCCATCATGTGCAACAGTTCGATGTTGGAGAGATCTTGTGATAGTATCTCAGATCTTAATGGTTTCCAGTTGGCACTTGTGGAAGCTCAAAGCTCGGAAGATTGGACCTTGCAAGGAGAAGATCAATGCCATATATAATGCGGAGTTGCCTACCAGATGGAATATCTCTAGTTTTCAATGTTTGAAACCTGTTCATGTTCTATGGGGATGCTGACCCCAAGTCGAGTCTTCTCCTTCGTGGAAGATGAGCAAATAAAAGTCCAAGGGAGCTGAATTTTAAGTTCTTTATTTTGTTTTATATTTTAATAGAGGGAGAAAATTTGAGAATTTATTAATTGTTATGGGTGGGTTGGTATTATTAGGGTTAACATCACAATTTTATAAGGATTTAGTTAGTTACTAGTTACTATTTTATGCTGATGTGTATCATGTGGTTCCTTATTAAGATGAGGATTCGCTTGCGGGTGCATGGAGTTAGGAACAAATAGGATTCATACGAAGAAAATAAAAGAGAGAGAGAGAGAGAGAGAGAGAGAGAGAGAGAGAG